AACCGAGAAAGAACCTACTTCCTAAGGGAAGTAGCCAGGCAGAACCACTTCTCAGAACTGTGAGAAAGGCATTCCAGTACTGGGTGGGTGGTGGGTGGTGGACAGAGCCTTCCTGAGATTTGAGGATGCTACATTTACGATAGAGATAGCTTTCAGTTGCATGTGATTATTCAAGGGAAGTAGCCAGGCAGAACCACTTCTCAGGACTGTGAGAAAGGCATTCCAGTACTGGGTGGGTGGTGGGTGGTGGACAGAGCTTTCCTGAGATTTGAGGATGCTACATTTACGATAGAGATAGCTTTCAGTTGCATGTGATTATTATAAAATGACACCTAGTGACGGCCTGTTATTTCATAGTGAGGTGTTTGAAGAAGGAAGGCTTTGGGTGTTTTCCAAAGTTGGATCCAATGGAAGATGTTAGTGTTGGCCTTTGCAACAAGCATCCAGTGCATGGAACCAACTCTAAGGCTCAGGCCATGTGGCAGAGGTAGAGCAGGGCACGGTGGCATGACAGCTAACAGCAAGTCTGAGTGGTATACGTGGACCCTTTGGACAGAAAACCGCTGCTGTCCCCACACTATGTGATATCACTATGTCATCCACTGCTGAGCCAGCTCTTGGCTCTTAGATGTGTGTCTACCCTTCTAGTCCTTGCATTCTCTCATGTTCTCAATATCAACTCTTGGTAGTGGGCTGGCCTGGTGGAAGGTGTCATACTTAAGCCCTTTTCCTGTCTTTTCCTCTGGAGAAAATCAAACACAATGCTAAGCGTGATGAGAACCCCAGGCTCTTTATGTAGGATTTTAAGAGCACAGGTGTGGGGCCTGGCTTGGGAAAGCAGGGATTGCAGAAAAAGCAAATCCTCCTCTAAAACTGTGCTTTCACCAGAACTGCTTCTAAGTTAGGGGAATTTCCTGAAGCCTGGGAGAGCAAGAGTGAGCATTCTCAAGTGCACATTTTGGTGAAGTCCATGTGTGATAATACCACTGTAACCACAAAGGAATTTACCACAGGAAGTGTCCCAGCTGTTGCTTATTAGCATTAAAACAAATTACACAAAGCAAATTGTTAGCAGACATGTTTCCATAATACTTAACTGGTGGCAATAACTAAGAGTGATTCTCTTTCAAGTCAATGCTAGATTTCCAAAAATCCAGCTTCCAGTTGTCCGTAAAGGGATCGTCTTTGATTAGGATAAGCATTGTGGGGAATGACTCTCTGGAAGCTGAGGCTCCAGCGCTCTTCCTGCTCTTCCTGCTGGGCGCAGCCAGGAGAGAGGCTGCAGGCACAGGCACTGCCCTGGGTGGGTCACTGCTGCCATGGGTGGGTCGCTGTTGCTGGGCTTGACATCACAGAACGTCATTGGGAATGTCTGCATCTCTGGACATCTGACCACCTGCTGGAGTCACCTGTGCAGTTCTCCGTGTGGTCCCCTCATGCCACAGGGGATATGGGCACATGGCAAGGCAACAGGAAACCCAGGCAAGTGATCAGTTCTTGGAGTGTATTTACAACAACAAAAAAATCAGACCTATTCACAGGTTTGCACCCCTCTCTTTAACAAAATATTGCAGTTTTAAAAAATTATTCCTTTACAATCCCGTGGCTTGTTATCTGGGGTTTTAAAAAAACATGTGAGTCAAATCCCTGCCCCTTGAGCAGGGAGAACAGTAGAAATGTGCCCTCAGAGCAGGCATCAGACAGCGCCCACGGACCACTCACAGGTATGCAAGCCTGGTGATTGCTTTAGAGAGCGAGCGGAATATTTCATATTTCAAGACCTTTTGACAATGACTAAATTCAAGTCCCTGGTCACCTCTGGGCATTTCCAGTTATCTTCAGAGATTTGACAAAATTCTCCTAAAACAATCTCAAAAATAAGTCAGAAAAAAATTTTAATTAGAAAAATAAGAAATATTCCACACAGCACATAAATACGAAAATAGCTTATTGGAGCATAAAGGGGGGAGCTGTTAGAATAGCTGCTCTTTTATTGTTTTCCTAAGAAATTTAGGGTTTTGTTCTCCCTCCCTCCCTGGTTTACTTCTCAAACAAACCAACTTGAGCCCAGTATTCCTTCCCAAAGTATTTACTATCATATTTGGTTCTCCTGAGGAATTCTTCACCCCTTTCTCCTGCTGAAGGGGAAAAATCTTGGCAGCCGCAATGAGGGCGAATGAGGGGAGCCCAGTGTACTCTCTGGTGGGCACCGAATGAGGCCCTCGAACCTCTGTTCCCTGCCGCAGGAGCCCCGGTGAGACCCGTCCCCACAGGCATCGGAGCCACAGGCTAGGCAGGCCCTTTAGCTGCCAGAACCCAGAACTGTCCTGGTCACCCAGCAGCCTCTAGGGCACACCCTGCTGGCATAGGAGACGACACCTAATAGTAACAGCTAGTAGGAAGGGTAGAGGGGGTTCTGCCTCTGTGTTACCAAGCTTGGGAGACATTGAAACCAAGGAAATACAATAGCTGATATACTCCCAACCACTTCCTATGGCTCTTCCAACCACAGTGTCAGGAAACACACAAGGGTAGAGGGGGTTCTGCCTCTGTGTTACCAAGCTTGGGAGACATTGAAACCAAGGAAATGCAATAGCTGATATACTCCCAACCACTTCCTATGGCTCTTCCAACCACAGTGTCAGGAAACACACACACACACACACACACACACACACACAACCCACAGCTTTTACCTAAGGTCTTCACAAAGGGAATAATGTGCTTCATAAAACATTTAAAATGCCTTAGGCAATAGAATTGTCTCTTGATTTTTTTTTCCAAGTGTTTAACAGACAAGTGTAATTGAAAATGTTTAAAACATGAACACACGCACACACACACACACTCTAATTTGGAATTATGCAAAACTATATCATTATTCACTACAACCTGAAGCAAAGTTACTGCAGCAGAATGACAAGTACCATATCTGTACAAGTGCGAGGCTCCCAAGTTGGCTCTCATTTGGACGAGAGTGACTCACACAGCCTGACCCTTTATGGTCTGTTTGGAGGAAATGGCCTGGCGTGTTTTAATTTGCGAAGCTATTTGGCCTCCTAGTTTGACAAGATTTCTGAGAGGGGTGAAAATTAATTATAATTGCAGTATTGCTACAATAATTTGGTTGGCTAATTGCATTTCAGTGCAAAAACAGGCAAGGAAGAATTTCCTCCCCAGGTTATTCTCTGATATGGCTCCATGTATTTTAAGAGTAATGAGATTTTTTAAAAGTCAGACCTTAAATATCACGGCTTCAGCAATCTGTCCTGCTTAAAGTTTAATGCAAAAAGAGATAGCACCTCTGTGACAGCAGTTCCACATGAACACAGATCCAGATTTCTCCTAGATTTGAAATGGGAACATCTCTCTCCCCGGAAAACGACTCGAGGTATCTCTTTGACATTGTTTGGGACTGATTTAAATTTGGGGACGCAGTGCTCATGTGTTTATAGCTAGGGAGGCACTGATGAAGGTGGATAGGAGATTTTGAAAACTTAATATTGAAAGTCACTAAAAGAGGTATATGTCTATGAAACAGGTACCAGAGTATCAGAGTGAGCAAAAACTGGAGTGAAAAACCTGGGTGGTTCTGGAATTTTCTGGATCTCATTGCTCTCACATTGGCAGTTCTGAATACATAATCTGTCCATGGCTTTTGGGGGGAAATTATCTAACTCCAGACCTGCAATGAGCACTTACAAGTAACAGTCTTTTGAGGGACAGAATCTGTTTATCGCTTTAAAATCTTGAAGACTCTGCCTGGAGGCCTGATCCAAGGTGGTTTGTCATGTGCTCAAACCAACAGATATCAAGCTCTTCCACATCTGATGACTCAAGTGCACTTCAGTGGGCAGGTTTAGGACGTTCTCCTCACCTTCTCCGTCATGCTGTAAGTTCAGCACTGTTTGTGCATCTAAAAAGGATTTTGTTCTGATGTGCTTCCTCAAATATTGCTCAGCAAAGTGGGCCTAACAGCAGGGTGTGGAATATTTATCACGCTTCATCTAAATCCTAACTGATTTCTAGAAGGTCACATGCAAATCAACTCAGGCCTGCTCTCCAGTTCATGTTCTGCACAAGGGCAGCTGGCCGAGGGGTGAAGGGGTTGAGATCCCACCCCGCTCCACTTGCCAGCGAGCCCCCTGCTCAGGCTGCAGCCTGAAGGAAGGCGTGCCTTTTCTTGTTCACGCTTGGGCCAAGGGAGGCCCTGAGTTACCCCTGACCCTCGCCCTCCAAGGTCACGAGATCTAATATCTACCTCCTCATCTCCAACACTGTAGGTGTTCTTTTAAGGAAGAGGATATGCCCATGACAAAAGGTGAATTCATTTTAAAGATATATTTCCTGTTCAGAGAGAAAGAAGAAAAAAGAGAGCGGGAAGGAGAGAAAGGAGATGGATAAAAAGAATAGTGGAGAAGAGGTTGCGCTTCTGCCTAGTAAATTGTGGATTTATCGTCCTTCTCTGGACACAGCTGCAAAGGGGTAGAAAATCAATTTTTTTTCTATTAGTCCACGGTGAGGAAGGAAAACCTATTTGTAAATTGAATTAAACCCAGTAATAGCATGTCTGTGTATTTGTTGAGGGCTAGAAAAATTAGCCACAGATACAACTACATAATTCAGCAATGTAACTAGAAATCAACACTCTCCCATTTCAAAGCATGGTTGAGACATTTTTCTTTCTTAAAGAAACACCCATGGCTAAATGTCACTAAGATTCTTCAGCATGCCAACACATCAACACCTCAATAAGGACTCTGGAGGGAAAGGGACTCCAAAGCCCCATCTGGGAAGAGCGTGCTTCCAAGTTCTTGCCTTTGCTGCTGTCAGTCGATAATGATTGGATATGAACTAGAACCTTCTAGATGATGGTTTCTTCCCAAGTTGCAATCTGTGGTGCTGACTATGGGATAAATTCCCTATTTCTCCATAAGCTAGATGTCGTTCATAGAAACCCTAGTTCATCCACCCAGTACTGAATAATCACGCTACAGCAGTGAGGGTCCTGAAATTTCATTAACAGTCTGCCCTCTAGTGGGGCAACACAGTACTTCAGATAACTAGAAACAAAACATCTTTTTTCCCCTCTCTTTCAGAGCGCAAGTGAATTCAAGTTTTCCAGATAGTGCAAGATGAGGCAGTCATCCTCAGAAGACAGCTGCCAGAGCCAAACCAAGCAAGGCTCACACTGATAGGGCTCCAGGTCAAAGTCAGAGGCAGGTGGTGCTACAGTGAGCGTTCCCACAGAGGCGCGGGGACCAAGGTCCTTCTCGCATCCTTTGAACCCTCCAGGGCTCTCCTTGGGTGACAGCATTCGGTTCCCCACTCTCTCATTACACAAACAGAACCTACTCTAACAGCAACCAACATATCAGGAATGTTAAAAATAATAGGCTTTTTTGAAATTTTTTGGCAAATCATTAACATAGACGAGCCTTTCCAAAAGGGCCATGTTGAATTTTTTAAAAGGCAAAAATGTACACGTTTTATAAAAAGAACAAGTCTCTGTGGCTGTTAATTTTAAGAGGACAACCTATTTCGTGATGTTGGTAAGGCAGACGATGACCTTGAGATCCGTCATCTTGGGTTTTGCTTCTATCTTTCAAAAACCTTTAGAACTTGGCTTGCTTCAGTCTATCAATGTGGTAGCAGAGTTTCAGTGCGGGTCCCAGCTTCAGGCCCAGGTACTTCATGATCATGTCACTCTTCAGCAACAACAGAGCATTGCCATCGATCTCCTGGTGGGACAGGATCAGAAGAAAGAAAACCCAGAGGATGGTCAGAGTCGTCAAATAGTGGCTGAGGTTAAGGTGTGGTCAGGGGATGTGGTCAGGGCAATGGACTTATTTAGATAGCATATTCTCTAGGTCCCAGGGCAAGATCTTCCTAAAAATAATTACAGCAAACAAACACTTTGTGCTCCTCTTCCCATCCTCTCCCTGGAGTCTTTGACACACTGGATCTTTTACATATTCCTGCTCTGCCCTGATTGAAGGAATTGAACATAACTCCACCTAAGCTCCCAACAGCCCACATATGACATTTATCTCCTTATCCAATCTAGGGAGAAAGGAGCAAGAAAGTGTCATTCATTAAACCCTGAAACAAGAGGTTACCTTTTTATCCAGACGCTGGTATGAAGCCCTGGATTCCATCCATCACCCTAATCTCGTTTCTTTTCTTGGTAGGCCCACCTACCTTTAGCTAATTACAAAACCGCTAATTATACTCTATGAGGGATTTCAGGTGTTTTTGACCCTGTCAATAATAATAGGTGGCACACACTAAATAATGCACCTGCCTCATCCCAGGGCTTAGCACAAAGAACTGCTGAGGGAATGAGTCAATCCTTTGAAGTCCTGGTGTGGCTCCCACTCATCTCTGAAAATGGTAACCTTCCAGAATGCACACTGACTTCATGAACCTAGCAAGGCTGGCTTTCCTCGCTCACCTACAGTGCTGTTTTCAGGTCACTAGAGACAAAGAATAGAAATTTGGGTGCTTAGGTGGGAAGAAGAGTGACAGTTACAGGACTCATAACTGGGCAGGGGTCACCAGCCCCTGTCACTCATCTGTCTGGCCAGCCAATACTGATGGAGCACCTCCTCTGTGCCACTCACTCTCCATGGCCTCGGCCAAATGGAAGGGTGGGCAAAGCCCATCTGTGGGCCCTTCCAGGAGCCTCATTTCCTAATGTTCTCTCTTTACCCTACCTCCTAGACTCCCACCATCTCCTACCACCCTGGAAGAGAGCCAGACACCCCACCCCAAATCTGTCTAAACATAACCCACCCCATGGTCCTTGGTCTCAAGGCCCCATTGTTAGGTGAGGTCAGATATATGCCTAATAAAATATGAGGGCTGAGTTAGATGAGGATCCTCCCCAGATCTGAGAGTAGATTTCTATGACAGAATCACCACATAAAATGAGAGACAGGAAGGAAAAAAGTCATGGTAATTGTGGTGGATGCCCCCTTCTCCCCCCAAGATGTCTCTATCCTAATGGCCAGAATCTGTGACCATATTAAATTACATGGCAAAGGGGAATTAAGGTTGTTGGTGGGATTAAGGTTGCTAATCAGCCGACTTTAAAGTAGGAATATTATCCTGGATTATGGGGGTGGCAGTGGAATGTAATCATAAGCGCCCTTAAAAGTGGAAGAGGAAATCAGAAGAGAGAACCAAAGAGATGGCAGCATGAGAAGGATTCGGCTTGATGTTACTGCCTTTAAAGCTGAGAGTAGTGGGATACGAGCCCAGGAATGATGGTGGTTCTAGAAGCTAGAAAAGGCAAGCAAAAAGATTCTCCCTAGAACATCCAGAAAGGAATGCAGCCTTGCCAACACCTTGCTCTGAACCCAGTGAGACCTCTATTAGACTCCTGACCTACAGAACAGTAAGGTAAAAAATTTATATTGTTTTAAGCCTCTGCATTTGTGGTCATTTGTTATAGCAGCAATACAAAACTAATACAGTAAGCTTGGAATCTCCTAAATAATTATAATGAAACCTGCCAAGTGAAGGCTATCTATGAGCCGGGCACCATGCTAAATACTTTATGTGCATTTTGTCATTTAATCCTCAAGGCAATTTAGGAATAGGCTCTATTATCATTTGCTGGCATACTGCAGGAGTGCTATACACGTTTGTTGAATGCACAGACAGATGGATGGATGGGCAGGAAAACAGGCACTCCTGGTGGAGGCCAAAACAAGAGAACAGGTGGGACAGATATCCCTTAAAAGCAAAACGAAGTGGTTGTTCTGCTCTCAGAAGCTGGTGGTTGAATCTGTCCCTCTCATCTCTGGCCCCCTTGAGGGTGCCCCTCCCTAAAGCTTAGTTCAGGCCCCCAGCATCCCACATTCCATGCCCACCGCCCCCTCCCAGGCCAGGCCCACACTCGCATACATGCTTTCTGAAGAGCTCCACGTGAGGCCCCAGAGCCTGCGGGTCAGCGTCTTTCACGAACCAGACCACGTCCTCCACGGTCCAGGTGCAGGGGTTCCTGCTCCTCAGCCGCCTGGTATCCTGCCCATCTGCAGAAGGGCTTGAGGCTGGATGGGATGGGCATAGAAAGGAGACCATGAGGCAGTGGACAAGGGCCTCAGCACCAAGCTGGTGCTGCTTGCCCCACCTGGCCTGGGAGCGGTTCCTCAGTGCCCTGGAGTCCAAGGCAGTGACCCAGGGGGCCTGCTGTGACAGGAAAAGTCTGGGAGTGGCTGCTCTTGTCAGGACCTTGAACGCAGGAAGATCACTCCTGGGGGCAGCCCCCTTCCCATCTATGCAAAAGCTCTCTGCTCTCCCAGGGAACGGAGCAGTAGAAAGTGGATATCCTTCAACGCACTGAAATTCTGATCTAAGTCAGAGTTTTCAAGACCCTTTCTGCTCAGTTCTTTCTCAATGGGCCCAGGGCCTCCTGTGACCGAGGGCTTGTGACCAGGATAAATGTGCTCAGATGAAGGTCCAGATGGGCCTCTGCAGTGCTCTGAGGCCACAGATCCTAGTCCTTCTGCCTCCCTGGCTTCCACACTGAGATGATAAAGACACGCAGGACCGAGGTCCATTTTGTTCTCTGCGGGATGCCAGTCTGCTGCCATGTCCTCAGAACCATCTCTCTGCGTGTGCAGAAAGAGGACGGCCTCTCACCCACAGCCCCCCAGGTCTGTCAGGGCATGTACCCCACTGGACTGTCAATACCTTGACTGCAAAGGGCCTGACCCTGTGCTTGGTCCACAGCTGGTCCTTGACAAACAGTCACATGGGTGCCATTTCCCACGTGACAGATCAAAAGGCTCGGGACAGGCAAAGAAGGAGAGTAATGAATTCGATGCCTGGCAATATTTAGGGGTTGACTTTTTGTGCGTATGTCCCAAACCTACTCATCCTCCTCCCCTAGGGCGGCCTCTCCTCCTGTCTCCCCCTTTTCTGAAACCTCCCTCTACCTCCCCCTTCTGTGCTCCCCACACTGAACTGGTCTGCAGCTCTTAGGAGGATGCCACCCCGCCCCAGAGCTTCTCCCCGAACCCCTGCCTGGTCGTCTGATGGGTCTCCTTGCCCCTTGCTCTCTCCTTACTAGTGCTCACAACTGCCGATGCCTCATGCCCTCCTCAAGACCAGCTCCGTCTGTGCCACCTCCCATTCTACTCCCCATGGAGCCCTCTTGCCTCTGCACTGAGTCCATGCTCTACCTCAAGGTCAAGCATTCTCTTTGGTCTCAATAATATCTTTCTTCCTAGATGGAGAGGAAGAAGAGCTCTGATGCCCGAGACACCCGGGGACAGACCCTGGAGCAGCCCCTTGCTAGTGATCCGACTGTGATGCGGCTCATCGGGAGTGCTCTCTGGCTGCAGGGGCAGGTGTGGGGACTGAAATGGCATAGTGCAGACCTCTGGCTGACCTGAATCAGGTGCTCCACAGAGGAAAGACGGCTCCCTGCCTGCCTATCCCGCTCCCCTGCACATGCCCTGCCTGGCACACTGGCTATGTCCGAGTGTTTCCCTAGCTCCCCTTCTCCACCTCCAGCTGGTGCTTTGGCTTCTCTCTAGAAGGCGTTTAGCCTCCCTCCTTCCCACTGACATTCCACCAGCCATCATAACACCTGATGCCTCTGGGAGCAATGTTTCTGTTCTTCTGCCATCTGAATGTCACTTTCCTCCCCCTTTAAGGGGCTGTGCACATACTGTCTTGTAGTACAATCATTTATGTACTTCTCTGTAACCTCTAGTTAGAGTTTAATTTCCTGAGGATCTACATCCCTCCTCCATTTATTCAAACATTTACTGAGCACCTTCTCTGTTCCAGGTCCTAGGTGAAATGCTTGGTGAAAAACACAAATGTGATCCTCTCATGGCAGGGGTTATAATTATTGACTCCTGCATGGCTCTAAGTAAATATATTTGTAAATATGGGTTCAATAAATGTGAAATGAATCAATATACTTTGCAGAAACAGTATGGTAACCTATACAAAAGCCTTGCATGGATGATCCTTAATCATATTTTAAGGCTAGAAAAAATGTTGAGGCTCTGAACAATGAGGCAGCTTTCCTACAGAATAATTCTAAGTTAGAAATTGAGAAGCCTTCTTTAATCTCAGGGCACAGTGGTTTTCTGCTTTCTTTTTCCTTCCTCCTTTTAATGTGCTTGAGAAGTGCATGGTGCTCTATTAGTGCTGAGAAAAATATAGCATCACATTTCTGAGTCTGTCCTAAACACATAATGGTTTGGTTGAGAATTGGATTTACTTTGAGATTTTTCCCTGCCTTTTCCTTGTTGGACCTGAAAGAGTCCCATAAGGTGGTTTGGCAAGGGGCATTTTGCTGGGAAGTTGTTAATGCACCCTGGAGCCATGCAAATGCTGATGCATGCTTATTAAAGATGATTTCACTCCATTTAAAGACATCTGCACTCAACATGGGGACGAAGAATCAGGGAAATCACATTTGCTTTTGGATCCTGCCCCATCAGAGCATCGCGTTAATCAAGGGGATAATAGATGCTCTGATTACAAAGGCTGGAAGTCTTTAGTGCCAAGAATGATTTTAGAGTGATCAGAGCAGAGGTCAAATCTAATTTCCTGTATCTGACAGGAAGGGAGAAAAAAAAACCAGACCAATTAACAGGAGCATCCAGGGGAGCCTAAGTCCTTTGAGCAAGGTCAGGGAATCACTTTCCCACCAGCCACAGCCATGGGGCTGAGCAGAGGGGGCTGGTTTGCTTTTAAAGACGAGGCTCTTGAGGCAGCCACTCTGCAGGGAAAGACACAACTGAGTCGGGAAAGTGGGCCTTGCTCCTGGTACCTGGTGTTGGCTGTGGGCACTTTTTGTTTTTTCAGGATGGAGAGGCAGCAGTTGGGGCCTGGCCTGTCTCCAAGGGGGCCTTTTAGTCATACAAGACAGAGGGCAGCAGGAAGCCTAAGTCACACCTCAGGAATTTCTCCCGATCCAATGCACATAAACTTGCTCTAGAAGGAAGAAAAATGGAACTTTCCAGCAATGGTCTGTACTCACAAAGATAATAACTACACTAATTCCCTGACTGCCCTGAGCTGCTGCGAAGGTGTCAGGAAGACAGATGGTCCGGTCTGACGCAGCAGAGCAGGCAGTGTGATAGGTCAACAACGAGACGTGCTGGATGTGAAAAAACCTTGCTCCTAAGCAAACAGAGCGTGCAAAGCGCTCGCCACACACCTTTAAGACGGCCACGTGCTCCAGCAGGGAGAACCCTGTGCTTGGCCATGTCGTTCCCTGGGGGCTGCCAGAGCCATGTGAAAAGTGAAATCCAGTTGTGAATGGATGTGTAATTAAATGGTGCTGTTGTTTCTAAAGCTGAACTTTCATTTATCAGAACTAGAATGACGATGAGTCAGTGTTGAAAAGCAATCCTGGACATTTTCACAGCACAGGGACTGGGACCCATCTGTGAATCGCCCTGTCTTCCACATACCCGCAAGCACGGAATTTCCTTTTTCTCATTCATAACTCAGGAGAAAGATTTCAGCTAACAATGGAGACGTGGAAGAGAGGAAAGCACAATGAGCTGGGAGTCAGAAACCCTATCACCCCAGCTACGTGATCGTCTCTGTGCTTCTCTGCTGTAAAATAAGGCTGTGTGGCAGGATCTCTACGGCCCCTTCCACCTAGGCGGTTGTGTGGCGTCTCCGCCACAGGCTGCTGACGTGAAGGGAGGTACCTGCTCATGCATTGCAAGGCCACGCATTGCAGGGTGTCCGCGTGTAAGACACGCTGAACAAAGGGCCACAGCCGGGCCTCCAATCCCTTCCTGGCTCTGATCATTCTCTATGGGCCTCAGTTTCTTTCTCTATTAATTGTGAATGTCATTTGTTGTTCCTCAAGAGTGTTTTAAGAATCAAATGGATACACGGCTTTGGGCTGAAGCCTGACAAGAAGCACTTGGAGGGAAGCCCATCATCTCTGACAGGGACCCCTCTGTGTTTAATTGTGAATGTCATTTGTTGTTCCTCAAGAGTGTTTTAAGAATCAAATGGATACACGGCTCTGGGCTGAAGCCTGACAAGAAGCACTTGGAGGGAAGCCCATCATCTCTGACAGGGACCCCTCTGTGTTCTTCCTCAGGCCATGGGAGCTGGCATGGAAGGGATGGCACAGCTGAAGAGAAGGGGAGGGTAGGTCTGTTCTCAGCATCTCAAGTGACCTGGCCCCCGAGGAATGTGTCCTTCCTAGAAACCACACGTAGTGTGTGAGGTGCCCGGGCTCGCCACCATCTGGGCATAATCAGGTGGTCTAAAATAATGTTGTTTTTCATTATTTCCATTGTAGAGTTTTCAAGACACTAAGAGGTGACAGTGACAGGAGAGTGAAAAGACCCTGACCAAGCCTTAGATTTTAATCAGGTTTTTCTTTTAATTCTTCAAGACCAGTTGACCTGCCTGTCTGAGTTAAGAGGATGCCTCTAGAGCCCAGGAGAGACCACAGGCTTGAAGTCAAGCCAAGGTGGGCCTGATTCCTTCTCAGCTGCCAGCAGACACTGCGATCTCCCAGCAGGCAACATGACCTCTGCCGGGAAGCCTCCAGCCACCCCTCCTCCCCATGTCCCCTTCCCTCCAACTCCTGTTGCCTGTTCAAGCAGCTTCACTGTGGCTTCTCTGGGAGGTATTCCTGACTCCTAAGGGCAGGCTGAGCACCCCCTCTCCATCCAATCCTCTTATACCGTCCACACTTTTCCTTTGCAGTAGTAATCACAATTGTAATTAAATGTGTGCAATAATTTGTATATGTTTGTCTCTGTGGAACTGCACCAGAGAAGAGACCTGACGTATTGTGCTCGTAATAACTTCGTATAGCATACATTATACGAAGTTATACGATACAGCAAACAAACACTTTGTGCTCCTCTTCCCATCCTCTCCCTGGAGTCTTTGACACACTGGATCTTTTACATATTCCTGCTCTGCCCTGATTGAAGGAATTGAACATAACTCCACCTAAGCTCCCAACAGCCCACATATGACATTTATCTCCTTATCCAATCTAGGGAGAAAGGAGCAAGAAAGTGTCATTCATTAAACCCTGAAACAAGAGGTTACCTTTTTATCCAGACGCTGGTATGAAGCCCTGGATTCCATCCATCACCCTAATCTCGTTTCTTTTCTTGGTAGGCCCACCTACCTTTAGCTAATTACAAAACCGCTAATTATACTCTATGAGGGATTTCAGGTGTTTTTGACCCTGTCAATAATAATAGGTGGCACACACTAAATAATGCACCTGCCTCATCCCAGGGCTTAGCACAAAGAACTGCTGAGGGAATGAGTCAATCCTTTGAAGTCCTGGTGTGGCTCCCACTCATCTCTGAAAATGGTAACCTTCCAGAATGCACACTGACTTCATGAACCTAGCAAGGCTGGCTTTCCTCGCTCACCTACAGTGCTGTTTTCAGGTCACTAGAGACAAAGAATAGAAATTTGGGTGCTTAGGTGGGAAGAAGAGTGACAGTTACAGGACTCATAACTGGGCAGGGGTCACCAGCCCCTGTCACTCATCTGTCTGGCCAGCCAATACTGATGGAGCACCTCCTCTGTGCCACTCACTCTCCATGGCCTCGGCCAAATGGAAGGGTGGGCAAAGCCCATCTGTGGGCCCTTCCAGGAGCCTCATTTCCTAATGTTCTCTCTTTACCCTACCTCCTAGACTCCCACCATCTCCTACCACCCTGGAAGAGAGCCAGACACCCCACCCCAAATCTGTCTAAACATAACCCACCCCATGGTCCTTGGTCTCAAGGCCCCATTGTTAGGTGAGGTCAGATATATGCCTAATAAAATATGAGGGCTGAGTTAGATGAGGATCCTCCCCGGTCTCAGGCAAGGTTCTCTCCAGTATTTCTAAGTTCTAGAGAAGACAGCCAGTATTTGGGATACAGTTATTGATTTGTTCAGGGTGGAAGGCAGCAGGCACTGATGGGCTCTTTCCCTGATCTCACCCAAGATCCCAAGAGGCAGAAATCTGGGCTTCCCCTGGCAAGATCCAGGATGGGTGGTCCTCTGAGGGAGTGTGTGGAGGATGTTGGATCGTACCAAAAAGCTCATGTGTGTGACTTGTGGGGGCCACTGGCGGAGGGATCCGAGGCTCAGAGGAAAAATGTGGCTTGTCCAAGAAGACACAGCCAGCCCACTGGGTGCTACAAGGGGGCAAGATGGACACCCCTGTCTCCTTGGCCTGGGGCCTCCTGTCTTCAGCAGTTCTCCGCTGTAGAGTTGATGGGCTATGGTTGGTTGAGGGATGTGCCCAAGTGATCTGTAACTATTCTGTGACTACTGACACGTATTAAGCTCTTACTGTGTCCTAGGCCTTGAACTCCTTTAATCCTCCCAACAATTCTATGAGGCAAGTGTTGCTATTATTATTCCAATTTTACAGGTGAGAAAACTGAGGCCCAGATAAGTTAAGACCTGCAAAAGGTCATACAGTCAGGCAGCAGCTGATCCAGGAGTCCAGACCAGGCTACCTGTCTCGAGTCCATGCAATTATCCCCAAGGCCCCATGGCCTCTATTCATGAACAAAATACTGGAGCTTGAAAACGGTGTTTAAAATACCCACCAGAATGGCCTTCGAGCCCTATAATCCTACATCCCTGCAAGCACTTTTGTATACTACATTCCAACATGCTTTCCTTGTGGGTGAGACAGAAGTGGCATTATAACCAACACTGTGAAAATTTTGCTTAACTCTGCTTCTGCCCATGTATTTGTACCCTGCAAGTGTCACCTACCATGCAAGAGACAATTCTTTACCAAAGTCTGGCTCTTCCTTTTCATGGCACACAGCTGGCCTAAACCCCCAGACACCCTCACAGTTAAATGTGGCACAGTGACCAACTCTTGCCCGTGGAATGTGAGTGGAAGTGACGTGCATCGCTTCCAGGCTGCAGGGAAGCATGTACGTCCTCTCCATTGACTCCATAGTCTCCACTCCCTCCTTCGCTTCCCACCTGCCAGATGCTGGGTGCGTGGAGGTTATGGGGGTGCCAGAGCCACAAAGTGGACAGAGCCTGGGTCTCTGATCCAGGCTGCAGGGAAGCATGTACGTCCTCTCCATTGACTCCATAGTCTCCACTCCCTCCTTTGCTTCCCACCTGCCAGATGCTGGGTGCGTGGAGGTTATGGGGGTGCCAGAGCCACAAAGTGGACAGAGCCTGGGTCTCTGAGTTGAGATGCACCCGCCAACTAGGAACACCCACCTTGGACTCTTGAACAAAAACGTCTATAGTATTTGAGCCAGTGCATGCCTTGGAGTCTACTTATTCCTATAGCCCAGACTACCCCAATAAACCATTTTCTTTGCTTATGGTCAAGGATTGAGATTGGCTACCTTCAAGAACAAGAAAAATCCATGAAGGGGCTTGTGGGGACTTATAATTTCCCAGTGGCCCCACATCTAAACAGCCATGCCCCCTCCCTCTCATGCAGTGTTCCCAGGGCAAGGGCAGAGGAGAGTAAGTCGTGGGGAAGCCAGTGCACGCATTACATTACCGCATCTGTGTCCATCAAGGGAGGTCCTGTTTCTCTTGGGGCTGGTGGTTGGGGACCTCAGCCCAGGTGCCAAGGGGCCTCCAGAGGACATGGGGCTGGTGCGGGGACCACCAGCGGTGGTGGGAGGGCCTCCCCCAAGATGGCCATCTCCAGAGTTCTGTCTCTTGAAGTACAGCGAGGAGGAAGAGGACAAGGAGCCCCTTCGGTTAAAGGTAGAGGCGGAGGAGTCCACTCCGTAGCGGCTCATGCCCACAGGGTTCATCAGGCACTCTTCAGTGGTGACTGTCTTAGCTGAGCAAGAAGGCAGTGCAGAGAAGCAGAGATCAGAGAGCAGCTCAGGAAGCTAGCCAGCCCTCAGTCCTGGCAAGCCCTGCCCTGGCAACATGGTCACCTGTAACTGTGAGGATGGGAGGTAAGGAGAAATGAACCCCTCAGCCTAATTCCAAATAGCACACCTGTCAGCAGATTAAGACATCTGCCTCACCAATGACAGTATATTTCAGTAGGAATCTGGAGATATTCCCCTCCATGTTTAGAGGAAAAATTCATTATCTTGTTTACTGATGTCTTGAAAATAAAATCCAAACCCAAGTCTTTCTCTGTCAGTGGCTCTGCCCCTCCGGCACAGTCTCTGCCGGCTTGTCTGAACCTCCCTGCTCTCTCCCCACTTGCCCACTACTGCCAGCCTCACCTGGCCCAGGATTCCTGGGAGAGATCAAGCTGGAGCCACAATATCTCAGAATTAAGAGAAATGACTGTGGCCTGAGTGGTGACACAGGTGCAATGGTGCTTCCTCCCCACACTTTTAGTCCCAGTACACATGAAGGCAGCCACCCTCTGCCAAGGCTAACAACCAGGGACAGAAATGATGATCAGGGCAGCCCTATGGTCCTCCCCAAACCCTGCACAGGAGAGCTAAATACCCAATCTAAAGTGCAGTTGTGGGTAAAGGACCCGAAGAGTCTGTCAACCTCATCATTAGCCCCACCCTCCCAAGTAAATCAGGCCTTTCTGTACTTTTAAAGCTCAACCTTGCAGCCTGTGAACTCTGTGAACTATACCTGTGGCCAAATGGTGTTTTTGCTCGTTTGTTTGTTTGCTTAGCTTTTATGGATTTTTTTGGCTAAAGTCTAGAGGAATTACGGGAATAGAAAGAGGATGGAAGCGATTCTAGTCTGTCTCACCCCAGACAAGATCATGTCTGCCTAGCTCCATCAATAGTTATCTATATATTAGGCACCATCAAAATGAATCTTGATATCCTCAAAGAAAATATGGGGAAACATATTTGGCGCAACAAGATCCAGATGTCTTCTCCATGTATAGACTTCTCCCACAATGCAGGTATTGAAAGATTAATACTTGATTTTATTAGGGGAGCTAGCAGATCTTCTCACAGTTGGGGATACACATGGTGCTTACCTGGAAATAAAAGTCATTACAGATGGGATATAGCTAAAGCAGTGCTTAGAGATAATTTTATAGCTGTAAATACTTATATTAAAAAGGAAGTTATAACACCAAGTTCAAGAGTTTGGATCCCCTTATTGGACAGCTGCCAAAATAATAAAAATAAAAATAAAAGGTAAGAAAGATCTCAAATTAATAACCTAATCTTCCACCTTAAGACAGTGGGGGGGGGGAGCAAATTAAACTTAAAGCAAGCAGAAGAAAGGAAAGAATAAAGATTTAAGTATAAATTAATTCAATAGAGAATAGAAAAACAATAGAGAAAACTCAATAGAACCAAAAGCTGACTCTTAGAAAAGATCAACAAAATTTACAAACCTTTAACTGGATTAACAAGAAAACAAAAAAAGGAGGATGAGTGAAAGAAACAACTCAAATTACTAGAATCAGAAATGAAAGAGGAGACATTACTACCACCCTTACAGAAATAAAAAGGATTATTAAGGAATACTACCAACAACTGTATGCCAGTAAATTAGATAACTTAGATGAAATGGATAAACTACTGGAACTGACTCAAGAAGAAATAGACAATCTGAGTAGACCTATATAACAGGTAGAGATTGAATTAGTAATCAAAAAAACTACCCACAAAGAAAGCCCAATCCCAGATGACTTCACATGGAATTCTACCAAACATCTAAAGAAAAAAAAAATCAATTCTATACAAATTCTTCCCAAAAAATAGAAGAGGAGGAAATACTTGACAATTCATTCTATGAGGCCAGTATTACCTTGATACCAAAACCAGACAGATATATCACAAGAAAAGAAAACTATAGGCCAATGTTTCTTATTTATATGAATGCAGAAATCCTCAACAAAATACTAGCAAAACTGAATCCAGCAACATATAAAAAGACTTATATACCATGATCATGGAGAATTTATCCCAGGAATGCAAGGCTGATTTAACATTTAAAAATCAATTAATGTAATACATCATATCAATGAAATTTTTTTTAAAAAAGGTCACATGATCATCTCAATAGATTCAGGAAAACATTCGGCAAAATCCAACACCCTTTTATGATAAAAATCACTCAATAAACCAGGAATAGAAGGAAACTTCTCAACCTGACAAGGAGTGTCTGCAAAAAATCTATAGCTAACAACATAGTTAATTGTGAAAGGCTGGATGGTTGTTCCCCTAAAGTCAGAACAAGACAGTAATGTTCACTCTAGCCACTTCTATTGACATTGTACTGGAGGCTCCAGCCAGAACAATTAGGTAAGGAAAAGAAAGAAAAGGCATCCTGATTGGGAAGGAAGAAGTAAAACTATCTCTTATATGTACAAAATCCTAAGGAATCCACTTAAAAAACTATTGGAACTAATAAATTAGTTTGGCAAGTTTGCAGGATACAAGGTTAATATGCAAAAATCAATTGTATTTCTATGCACTTGTATTGAACAATCTGAAAATAAAAAAAAGAAAGCAATTCCATTTACAATAGCATTAAAAAGAATAAAATAGAAATAGATTTAACAAAAGGAGCTCAAGCTTATACTCTGAAAACTACAAAACATTGTTAAAAGAAATTAAAGATATAACTAAATAAAAAAAATCCCATGTTCATGGATTGGAAGTCTTATTGATAAGGTAGCAATACACTCCCCAAATTGATCTACAGATTCAACACATTCCCTATCAGAATACTGGCTGATTTCTTCATAGAAATTAACAAGCTGGTTCTAAAACTCATATAGAATCATAAGGGACATAAAATTGCCAAAACAATCATGAAAAAGAATAATAAAGTATAAGAACACGTACTTCCCAATTTCAAAATTTACTACAAAACAACAGTAACCAAGACAGGTGGTACCGGCATAAGGATAGACATATAGATCAATGGAATGGAATTAAGAGTCCAGAGATAAACTCACGTGTCTATGTTCAACAGACTTTCAGCAAGGGTGCCAAGACCATTCAATGGGGAGAGAATAGTCTTTTTAACAAATGATACTGGGACAACTGGATATCTACATGTAACAGAACGAAGCTAGACCCTAACTTCGAACCATACATAAAACTAACTCGAAATGAATCAAAAACCTAAATGTAAAAGCAAATACTATAAAATTCTTAGAAGGAAACATAGAAGGTAAATCTTCCTGACCTTAGACTTGGTAAAGTGTTCTTAGATTTGACACCAGAAGCATGAGCAACAAAATAAAAAAACAGAGAAATTGGACTTCTCCAAAATTAAAAACTTTTGTACTTCAAAGGACACCATCAAGAAAGTGAAAAGACAACTCACAAATTGGGAGGAAATATTTGCAAATCATGTACCCGAAAAGGGACTTGTATCTACAGCATATTAAGAATTATTACAACTCAACAATAAAAAGACAAGCCGATTTAAAAATGAACAAAGGACTTAAATAGACATTCTCCAAAAAGATATACAAATGGCCAATAAACACATGAAAGATGCTCCACATCATTAGTCAAATTAAATCAAAACCACAATCAGGCACCACTTCACACCCACTAGGATGATTAAAATCAAAAAGTCACATAGTAGCAAGTGTTGGCAGTGCTGTAGAGAAATTGGAAGTCTCATACACTGCTGATGGCCATAGAAAATGGTGCAGCCACTTTGGAAGACAGTCTGGCACTTCCTCAAATGGTTAAAGTAGAATTACCACATGACCCAGCAATTATGCTTCTCGTTATATACCCCAAAGAAATGAAAACATATGTCTATGTAAAAACTTGTGCATGAATGTTTACAGCAGCATTATTAATAATAGCCAAAGGGTGGAAACAACCCAAATGGCTATCAACTGATGAATGAATTTTAAAAATGTGTATATCCATACCAGGGAATTTGAACATAAAAAAGAGTGAAGTACTAATATATGCTACAGTGTGAATGAGCCTTGAAACATTATACTGAGAGAAGCCAGCCACAAAAGACCACATATTAAATGATTCAATTTATATAAAATTTCCAGGGTAGGCAAATTTATAGAGACAAAAAGTAGAATATTGGTTGCTTAGGGGTTGGGGTCGGGGTGGAGGGGGTGGATAGCTAAAGGGTATGTAGTTTGTTTTTGAGGTGACTGTGGGGATGGTTTCACATATCTGTGAATATACTAAAAGCCATGAATTGGACCCTTAAATGGGTGAATTGTATGATATATGAATTATATATCAATAAAGCTGATTATTTATTTATTTATTTGGTATTACAATTTTATTCATTGCATAGAAGTCTTGAACAAGTCTCCAATATTGTTCATTTGGGTTTTTATTTTTATTTATTTATTTATTTGGTATTACAATTTTATTCATTGCATAGAAGTCTTGAACAAGTCTCCAATATTGTTCATTTGGGTTTTTATTTTTATTTATTTATATATTATTATGTTTTTACATACTAAGATGTTGTTGTGGAGCAGCTGGGGGGAGGGGGAGATGGGAAAGGGAAGGAGATGAGGATGTGGTCAAGGCCCATCATAGAAGTCTTGAACAAGTCTCCAATATTGTTCATTTGGGTTTTTATTTTTATTTATTTATTTATTATTATGTTTTTACATACTAAGATGTTGTTGTGGAGCAGCTGGGGGGAGGGGGAGATGGGAAAGGGAAGGGAGATAGAGTGGAAGGAGATGAGGATGTGGTCAAGGCCCACAGCACCCCCCTTATTCCAGTAGGGGTCCCCAGGGGGCTTCTGGCAGTGGTTCAGTCATGGC